TTGGTCCACTCCAGGTTTTACGAACAGCAGTGTGTGTTTTATTCCGAGTGCGTCGTAAAGTTAGTTTCGTGTTTTTTCGGGAAAGATTTCCACCACAGCCCACAGCCGGAGAAACTGGCATCCCTGTAAAACGCCCTCGGCGTGGTGCCATGCCAGCGGCGGACAGCTTCCACCTGAGAGTGCGGGAAAGGGGTTCGGGCTGGTCTCACGAATGAGCCAGCGGATCAGGGCCGGAGCCCGATCAGATTCCTGGATATGGGAGCGGAGGACTGGTCTGGTGGGATTGGTGGGGGGGATGTCTGATATCTCAGTATGGGCAGTAGTCGGAGACCCTGCCTGCACCCCTGAGCAGCACAGGGTTCCCGTCCCGAAGAGGGCAGTTCCCGGGGCACCAGCAGGGTCGGGGGGGCTCAGTCTTTGTAGAGCCCCCGTGTGGAGGGGGACCCCAGACAAACACACAATCCTCCAGGGCGTGCTGACGGGCCCAGGGAGCCCAGAGAGACGTGCGTTTAAAACTGGGAACAGGCAGCGCTACTTTTGACACAGAGTGGTAGGAGTGGGGAGCAAGCCGCCCAGCCGATACCCTGGCTTCTCTCCAGGAGCAGCTGCTTGAGATCCTCACAAGCGTTGAGGATCTGGCGGGGCCTGTTGGCCTACTCCCAGCTGTGAGCCGTCTAGTGACCTTGGCTGTTCGATACAGGGGCGGCCGGCGTGCCTCTGTGCTGCCGTTCTGGCTGTAACCTCCGGTGCTCACAGGCAGGCATTTCATTTCCTCTTCCCGGTCTGCTGAGCTCCATCTTTCCCAGATCTTTGCCTCCGTGTGACTGCCGTGTATGTTCGGCTGACCTTTGACCTTTGACCTTTGGGCGGGTGTTTTGTCTCTGCTGCTGTTGCTCTGTCCTGATCAGCCCGGGGCTGCACTCCTGTCGCTGTGCCGTTGTACAGAGCTGGTCAGAAGGCCTGCATTGATCTCCCTCTGTCTTCCTCTCTTCCCCCTCCGCTCGTCAGAGAGGGACAGGCTGTTGACCGCTGTGACCCGGTATGGCTCTCAGGGCCACAGTGACGACTCGGGGGACTCTCGGGCGACCCCAGGAAGTGGTTCTCTGGGGTCCGAGCAGGAGGAGGAGGAGGCTCTTCGCCGGAAGCTGAAGTATTTCTTCATGAGCCCCTGTGATAAGTACCACGCCAAGGGCCGCAAGCCCTACAAACTAATTCTGCAGCTGCTGAAGATCATCATTGTGACTGTGCAGGTACTGTAGCTACCAAATCCCTTCCGTTAACAGTGCATACGCCTTACAACACGTTACATACTGTCCTTCCATTAACGTTACACACATCTTACAGCCTATTAAATACACCTTACAACACACTACAGTTCATTTCAGCACATTGCATACGCCTTACAGCACATGACAGTGCCTTTCAGCACATTACAGACAGTACTGTGTATGATCCATGGTAGAATACCTTCCATTAACGTTACTGCATCTTATGGCACATTACATACACCTTATAAAACATTAGAATTCATTTCATATGCCTTACACCACATTAGTCTGCACTTTCCATGATCAAAACTAAGCGCAGCAACAAACCTGATGTTGAAATTGACTGTGTTGCGCTCTGTCTTCCACAGAGCTGAGAGTTTCAAAACGTGTGGCAAATACAAGCACCAGAGCTTGGGGCCGATAACGGTTGAGGCAACGTCTTCAATCATCTCGAGTTTCAATGTTTCAGTGTTGTTTAAAGTGAAAATGGTTTTCCCTTCATGTCAGATCAAGTTCACAAATAGCAGCTGAAGTAAAAACTCTTTCGTGAGAATGATTGGCCCCTCCACTGGGGGGGGCTGTGGCTTGGTGTTGACTGGAAGGGGTGGAGGACAGTCCTGCAGGGTGCTGTGTGGAGCAGCTTGTTCTATTAAACTGCACTGAGATCCTCAGCCGCTGAATAACCCCACCTCTCCTTTCTCTCTCTCCTCCTCTCTCTCTGGTTTCCTCCACTCTTCTCCTCTCCCTCTGTTCCTCTCTCCTCCTCTCCCCCCATTTCCCTCACTTTCCTCCTCCTCTCCCTGTTCCCCTCACCCTCCTCCTCTCCCCTCCTCTTCCTCTGTTCCCTTCACTTCTCCTCCCGTCGCTCTCCTCTGTCTCTCCTCTCTCCCCCTCTGTTCTCCTCTCCCTCAGCTGGTGTTCTTTGGCCTCAGTAATCAGATGGTGGTCACGTTTAAGGATGAGAACACCATGTCCTTCAAGCACCTGTTCCTGAAGGACTACGCTGACGGCTCAGAAGACACGCTGGCGGTGTACACGCAGACTGATGTGTACGAGCACATCCACCATGCCATCGAGCAGGTACCCCTGGCTAAACCACGTAGCTGAAAGACTTACTCCTTCTCGCTTAAGTAGTCTTCCTGCAGGAAGCTTTACTGGAGTCTGTTTCGTATAGTCTGCAGTGGTTCTTAGTCTCTCCTCTCTCCTGCAGTACCTAGCCCTGCCAGAGACCACAGTGGGGCGCTATGCCTATGTGTTTGGGGAGCACGTGAACGAGAGCGCCCTCTATCTGTGTCAGCAGTACTACAAGAGGGGCAGGATTGACCCAGCGAATGACACCTTCAACATCGACCCCAGGGTAGTCACAGGTGTGTAGCGACCACTGGCCCACCTTTCCCTCCCCTCCCCTTCTCACCAATCCCTGCCCCCAGCCCGACCCCTGACTCCACCCCCTGAACCTGCACCTGACCCAACCTCTTGTACCCACACCCTTGACCCCGCCCCCT